ATCACTTACTCACAAGCTGGACTCAATCTGATAAACCTAGTGGATAATCAAGACCTTACTCTAATAAAACTTCTCATTGCCAAACTCACTAACACAAAGACCCAAGAAGCTATATTACTGGAAATAAATTCTCTTCAAGCCAGTCTTGCTATCTGGCTCTGCCCGATTTGTTATCTTGAGAAATTTCCAGAAACATGAATTATGCAAGCAGCGACAGTTTCGAAAGTGTACAGAATTGATATCTGTCTCACTTTCTGTCAATACAATTACTCCAAAGAAGAACAATCACTAGGCCTTCACTTTTTATTTGATGGTAAATATCTAAAGCATCAGGCATTAGGACTGAGCAGAAGAAACATCAAGTTCTTAGAAGATCTACTTACTTTCTAATCAAACAGAAGGCTATTCTGGCATGAGTTTAATATACACTTTCGCTCCATACCCAAAGGTTCCATACCTTCCTGGTTTACCAAAATTAATTTCACACCCACTCTTAAAGGAACTTTGACCTGCATACCAAACACAAAAACCAGATTCTGGGCTTTTATTACCAATAACAAATTGAGTTTCATTAAAACAAGAATCAATCGTAACTGTACTTACTCTCAAATAAAGGGAACTCACTATAAATTAACAACGAGTAGGACTCTTAAGAAGTGCCAGTGTCATAACGACAGCTCCCAAATCACCATCCCAACCACTAAAGCAATGTTCCTTTGGACATACAAGACAAATAATGAACATTGCCTAGCCAACGTGCTAGAGGAAATATGGCTTCAACTCTAACATATTGTTATTTCAGACAATAATCCAAGAGTAGAAATCAGCTTTCACGAATATAGAGATCTATCAGTACAAATCAACACCAATACCATAGAGGATCTTAAACAAGTCATCAACTTCAACAGACTATTTTTGCACTTCGATATCGAGAGCAAAGATAAATTGTTAATGTTACATGGACACAACACCAACATAGCTCTACATTCAACAAATCCGCAACCAATTAATATTCTTATAGGATTAATCGGTTTAGTGGAGGCAGCCAATAATCAGACATATATATCAGTCAATATCCCTAAGAAGTTAGACCTATATACTCCAGGCTACTCTAATTAAAGAGTCAAATTTTCATACAGTTTTTTAAAAGGAAAAATCAACAGTACATGTGAATGCAAAAACATCAAATTAAGACTAGAGTCAAGCCCAGTCATCTCAGGCTATCAAGACAGTGACATAATAATAGGAATTGACAATCTAGTGGAATCCAAAAGCTGTACCTCAAGCCCAAAAATCAAGAATAATTGGAGTTACAGCCCAGTCATCTGGACCAAAAAAATTCAGCGAACATATAGGCTCGCTGATATTATTTAGAGCTCGTTAATCAAAAACAGGTGGAAAGTTAATATGAAAGTATCAACACTTCAAATTCTAGCCAAGGCAAACAAGCTACTAATCAAGAAGAACAAAATAAATACCTCCTCTCTACTAGCCTTCAGACTTAAGCTGCTGAGTGAAACATTGCCATCCAGGCAATTGCTACATGATCGATACCCAAGCACTTACAGATCTTTGTTTTCAAATTTTATATATGATTTTCAGTGATTGATTTGGCTGATAATTTTTGCCCAGGTGCCTTACAGCAGTAGAAATCCAGAGTCATATTTTTAATTGCTATAAAAACATTGCAGCATACAACAAAATGGAAAACAAGATAAGGACAAGTTTAGTAAAACTTGTTAGGAAAAACAACAATAAGAAGTTCTTAACAGAAATAGAAAGAAGAACACAAAAACTAGACTTTGGCCGAAAATCCAACCTAGACAAACTTGCAAGCGGAATGCTAAGCATAGACATACAACTATTTGTCACCAGTCATGCCAAGATGGCAAACAAAATACTAGCCCTACTATACTCACAAATATGGATTCCAAGATTAATAACAGCTAACACATCCGAAGTAAAAGGAGTCAAATGGAAAAGGCACACCCTTTCAACCAAAAGCCCCAATAATATTCACTTATCAAAAGCCACCCTAAACAATAAAAGTTTATTAAAGTTAATAATGGAAGCTACAAATCCATAGGCAAATCACAACAGCAGCACTATTAAATCACAAGTCTTTATTTCAGCTCTGGAAGGGCATTAACTATCCAGTACTAAAACTAATCTGAAGTATACTAAGTATAACTAGGATTGGGATAGTTAGCATTATAGATAGGTTAACATTAATTTATAAACTCAATTTTGTAAAGATGTTTAATGTAATCCAGATATGTTATATATATTAATAAAGTTTTGCATCTGATGCCCTTTTACGACGTAAAAAAAAAAAAAAAAAAAAACAAATTATATATCTAAAAAATAAATTGAATTGAATTTAATTTAATTCAAATTAATTTGATTTGTCATAATTCTTACTTGTATTATAAAACAATAATACATAATTGTTAATATTTCATTTATACAAGTGAAATTTTGCCAATTTTCAATAATTAATTTTTATTACTTTATATACAGTATATATAGGATAATGCTTGAATGACTAATTACATTAGATCTATTAATAAATTTTATTTACATATATCTAAATTATACCAATATTTCATCAGGAAATTTTTGAGCAGAGAAATTCCATATATCTCCACTAGGGATCATGAAAAACCGATCCAAAACCGTATGCACGATCCGACGGATGATCGACATCGTGCATATGTATAAAAAGTTTATTGTAAAATCGTCTGAAAAAGTGAAAAACGTACATCAATTACCAACTTTTTAGATATCGAACCAAATTTAACGAAACACA